AGTCATAAGTCTGCAAGATTTCCTCAATCTTGTAATGGATTATTGGCAGAATAGAGGTCGGTACCGATTGAACTGGGCTCGATAACTCGGGTTGCATCCATCAGAATAGACCTACGGTAGGTCAGCGCCTCGTCATGGCACAGTGCCCTCCGGCAGCTAACTGGGAGTGTTTTTGAGGAATAACACGAAGAGCTCGCTTGCAGCTGTTCTATGCACCTTATGCCGAAGTCCTACCGGAACTCCGGCCTTGGAACGTTCGTTCAGCTCGGAAAAATTCGTCACGAAGTAGGATCGATGCATCGTGTTCGTATATTTCAAAGCGAATCGTTTGGTTATTGGCTGTTCCAACTACCTGGTGCCAACCTTGGATCTATATGATTGTTGCTCAGGGTCAACAAACTTCAAGCAGAGATATTCAATGATGTTCATTGACGATACAAGACCCGTAAGAGCTTGAGATTGATAGATTCTGAGTCAAGTGATATGCAGTTCCCTGAACAACCCAATTGATGACGCATTGGTGCATGAACATACTCGTTTGATCAGGATTTGAAATCGTTTGAGCCGAGTGGTTCTTAGCCACAGTGCTGCAAAATATGTTCACTTTTTTCAGCCGGGAATAATAGTTCCACCGTGGTAATTTAAATAGATGAGAAGATGCTTCTAGAGCTTTTTCATATTTTTTGTTTGCCACTTTTTGCGAACCTTTCGCCATTTTTTGCTATTTTTGCCACTTTTGGCAAGTTTTTCCTATTTTTCCACTTCTTCCAAAAATAGGAGCTTTTTATGAGCTCCAGGAAATGGCAGGAATATTTCCACCGGAAAAGTTGGCAATGGAAAAATTGTTGCCGTTTTGGAGCACCCTGGCTGCAAGGCTGGCTATAAACCGTTGGTGTCATATCCACTGAAATCCAAGCGCTGTCTCGCGAGCAAAAATCCCTCCATAAGTCATTCGATTGGGATGCTCCTACCTGCAAAGCTGTCAACCATACTGATACAGGTCAGTGGCTTTCAGTTGGTGTCCGAGGGTCTCGAATCGAGGCCATGTCTTGCAGCTCCGACCGATCCTGGAACGCGACATTATCAGCGGTAAAAGTTCACGGGTTACAGACCATCAGCCGATTACGATATCAATGATTATTAGACTAGCCACATAAGGCAGGTGAGCTCGCTAACCCTGGAAATCAGTCAGAATCACTTTTCGCTGGGGCCTTGAAGTCTGGAACCCCCTAGCAACTAGCTCCGCAGGTGCAGCGTGAACTACAGCACAGCATTCTGTGAGAGAGCACGCAGCGGTCTGCAACGAGTTAATGAAGTAGGATGTCGCCATGACTGCTCGATAGAAAAAGCCGCGTATTGGAATTATAAATCATACACTACTATTGACTCACTTGAAGAGCCCAACGAGGCACGAAACATCTTGGGTTACCCAAGCTGGATCATTGATAGCTGCTACTGGTAATTGTCGATGACACATACCCGGCACCCACGATAGCAGTACATGGAAGAATGTTGATGAAGGATGAAACGTGTCTTGGATTGCTTGAGAGTTGAGTTGCATAGTGGAAGTGCCTCTAATACACGGTCCATACACCTTCCCCAGATTATGAGAATTGAGCGTCACTCTTCCCACACAACAGTATAAACGCAACCGAAAGCCAACACTTCGACCAGAGACGCTTCCGCTATAAACCATCAGCTGCTGTTCATATCTCAGCGGCCTGGAGCTTGCGGAGACGCTGCATAGAGGCACTGAAAACAGACCAACGTTAGGAAGCAGACAAAGCAAAGGCGCCTAGTTATTACCGAACAGTGGCCGCAGCAGCAGTGGTCAACTGCCAGCATCCGCCAGCCATGGTCTTCTTGCAAGAACGACAAGACCAGATGCCACCAGCCTGCATAAGATGACCATAAATTCGATGTTGAAGGACTATAGGCTATCGAAAAAGCGGGAGCAAGAGAGACTCTTACAATCACGAATGATTACCTGACGCTTGACGGAGTCCTTGCCGCAGAAGGGGCAGGTGTACTTCGCCTTGGACTGAGCCTCAAACTTCTTCACGAGCTTACGCAAGGAAGCGCCATAACGGGTGCCGTACTTGCCGGAGATACCAACCTTCTTAGTGCGTCTGGCCATTTTGGGAAGTGGGTCTATCAGAGGAGATTTCTGCAAGCATCACCGTCCGCTATCCATGAATCGATTATAATGGCGGGCGAGATTTTCCACGCTGCTCGTCGACTGAGCACTTCATCGGTAGCGCTCGCATGGCTGCGTAGTATCTATAGTCCACTGCTTTATAAACGGCATACTCGTTTAACTCGGGCAGTTTGCAATACACTTTCTCTTAAGTTAATACCGAGTTCATAAGCCAACGCCGTCGTAGGTTGGATTTAACGTGAAATCTATACGTAGACAACTTGACAATGCTGTGAGCTGAGCTGTGTATTGCCTTATTCATGTAGCCGCTCTATTACATCAACGAATAAACAAGTTGAAACAGAACTAGATCAAAAGGTCAAGCGAACATCAGATCATCCTTTGGGCAACCTCGTGTCCTTGCACACGATCATGCGTTCGATGTGAATGCTCTGATGAGGTGAAGTCAAGCACGAGTAGTTGGGGAGTTCACCTGATGAATTTGCGAGGTAAAATATTTCACTCGTCTCACAGGAACGAGGTCACTGCACACACTATTCGAGATTACCTTTATTTGATTGCGGTTCTGACATTGTAATCGTTTCGCACCAATGATCATTCGTCCATCCCACTACTTGACATCAACACCATTCGTACATTCAGAAACAAATTATTGTCCGAAACGAATCAGTTGGTCGCCAAAACGCACATCAACTTTGTCAAAGCATCGACACGGCGTTCCGCCTTCCCAGACTCAGGCCAAAGACCACTAAGATTCTGCATGTCCACCAACGGCACGTCGAAGCCCAGCTTGCCAAGCCGTTCTAATGTCTCTCCAGAGCGCTGCTGTATATGACCTACAACTCATACTATAGGAAAAGGATCAGACCGAGCTGGGACGGTCTCACCCAGTGATTTGCAGGCATGCTTGAGGATTATTCGACTGAACTCAGCCCGTCTCCGAGCCGTCACGCCAGACTTCCCCTTCGTCTCCACATTGTATGCTGTCATCTCGGCTATCGCATCGGACATCTCTTGAACCTTAAACATCATTCATTGCCCACGATGCTACAGCTCAACAGCTCACCACTGGCTGTAGGCCTGTATCAGCCAACACTACAGAAGCAGACCCAAGGTACCAGTCGCCACCAAGCACCGCTAACTTCACAGCTTTTGTCACCTACCAACGATGCACTTTCGTGGAGCACTGCAACCGCGACAAGCAGTTCGTGATTCTACGAGTAAGACTCCGATGATGAGTATGAATTGAGGAATAATACAGACTATAATAATAACCAAATATGCTACGTCACATAAGGTAATCACAAAGATACATTATTTTACTTTATGCAGCACTCCCCGGGCCAGACGGGAAAGCGCCGAAAATTATAGTACACCAATTGCAGACTCAGGAGAGACCGAGACCTAGTGTAAGTGTCGGACA